ATTCAGTGGTAGAATTATCTTTACCTGCCACGCAGGAGGCCCAGGTTGGATTCCCAGCCCATGCAGATCACTGTTGCCCTTTGGAGTCCTAGTATGGCCCTGTGGGTTAATGCGCTGGACTGCAAAGTTTGAGCCTCAGAGTCGGCAGTTCAAGCTCACCAGCCACTCCTAGGAAACCCTATACAGAGTTGCCAGGGGTCAGAACCAACTTGATGGTATTTAACAACAATATCAGTAATAGAAATTTTGAAAACAGAAACTCTCACTCCAAATTAGAAATAAAACAAATGGTTCAGGAAAATCAATACAGGAAAGATGGCTTTCTGAATTTCTGTGCTGTGTGGTGCTATAGGATAAGCACTGGACTGCTAGTCACAGGGTTGGTGGTTCAATCCCACAAGTCACTCCTTGGAAACCCTATGTTGTTGTTAAGAGCAGTCTAGTCGGTTCCGACCCACAGCAACACTGTATAGGGTTTCCAAGGAGCAGCTGGTGAGCTTGAACCATCGACTTGCAGTTCAAACAGCTTTGCAGTCTGGCGCATTAACACACAGCGCCACACCAGGACTCCACAGAGGGTCCTTATAATTTAGAACTGACTTGACAGCACTTAACAATAGCAAGCACAAAAGTATCAAGAGGGCTAACACCAAACTAAAACCAAACACACTGCTATAAAGTTAATTCTGATTTATAGTTACCCTACAAGACACTGGGTTTCCAAGACGGTGAATCTTTACAAGATTAAACAGCCTCATCTTTCTCCTTCAGAGTGGATGGTGGATCTGAACCATTGACCTTGTGGTTAGTAGTCCAATGCTTAATTCACTGTGCGACCACAAGGGCTAAGATACACCCCAAAGTATAAAAGGTTTTTGGGTTTTGAGGCAACATAGAAAGGGGAATTTGCTATAAGAGCCAAATGTCCAATTTGTCCAGGCTATTCATCTTGCATTCTTTGGATACATGATCAGGAAAGACCAATCACTTAGGAGGAAAAAAATATCAAACTTGACAAAGTAGATGGTCAGCAAAAAGAACCTCAATGAGAAGGACTGACACGGTAGCTGCAACAATGTGCTCAAACATAATGACTATTATGAGTATGGAGTAGGATGCTTGTGGGACAGGGCAATGTTTTGTTCAATTGTACATGGAGTTGTACCTACCAACAAAATTAGAGTTTATACCTGTAGTCCTGGCTTAATTATAATTATCACTTTTTTATACTCTCAAAAATGCATGATTTGGATAAATCATACAAGGGGACTTCAAAATGTAATTAAAAGATCATAGAATTCTTGTCCCCCTTAGCCATGTGCTGGTGTGGTTGAAGAGGTTAATTTGCAGCAGTAGACCTAAGTGGACCAAAGGGAATTATATTCTATCCCTGTGTCTTGTATGAAAAATGCCAAGATCTCTTGACATGGGATCACTTCCATATAAAATTAAAATCTACAGCACCTAATATTTAGCCCTGGTAAGTAAGAGATAGCTAGACCAAATGCCTAATGCGCGCTCTATTCTTAATTAAGAAGTTGAAGTTCCAGCCCTGAAAAGCTTGATCCCATTAATCCGTATTTGACTAAATCTGCTTCCTAACTTTTAAAGCTGTTAAAAACACCTAGGAGAATTTTTCTCATTTCCACTCTCAGCACAAACATGAGAATAAACAAAAATGTCAAAAGACCTGTAACTATTTTCAAACTATCATATAGATT